GTAGCAGGTTCAGATACCAAAGTTCACGGGAAATAGGACATGCACCCAGAAAACAGCACAACTAGGATTTGAACTTGCCTCTCCCTGTAAGTGAGGAAAGCTTCTTGGACATTAAATTTAGGAGCTTACTGTAAATTTCTCACCCTCTAAAGTGGTGCTGGCCTGTGTCACCGTCCAGAAACAAGAGGGTCTCCTTGGTGACCACACTGGACCCGCTCTGGTTGACCACTTCCCTGGACCAGAGGCTACCGGCTCCTCCTCCCCAAAGAGCGGCAGCTCGGAATCGTCTGTCCTGCGCCCACTAGCCAGGGGGGCCCGAGGACTCACCTCCAGTACACCAGCACGGCAATGAGAAGGATGAGGCACACGAAGGTCAAGGCTGAGACCACAATCAGAGGGATGATCCACTCCATCCTCCCTGGAGAAACGCGGCTGATCATCCCAGAGGTGTTCTTCTCCGCTGCAGAGAGAAAGCAGCTCAGTCAGACGACACAGGCCGCGAAGCTTGGAGCCAGGCATGGCGTGGACGTCCATGTGGTTTCCAGAGACCTGGGCTGCTTGCTCCGGCTGCACCATGCCAGGAGGAACAATGTGCAGGCCTCTCTGTGTCCACCCTGTCCCAACCCCAGTACCGTCTTCTCAGGTTGCATTCGCAGCGGCCAGTGGGATGGATCTGCTCCCAAGCTGCAGAGCTGTGCGGAAGACAGACGGGGAGCCTCACTAAGCACACTACCATCCCAGAAGGATGCACTGTGATGACGTTTCCAGAAGCGGGCAGGAAGGAGGGAGAGAGCGTCCCGTGCTCCCTGGAGCGGGGGAGGGCAAGCTCCACGGTGGGGCTCATGAGGGAACGGGACAGCCCTTGGGACTAAGGTGCCCCTGCTTCTTGCCAGTTTCCCTCCCGCTGCCCTTCCTGCACTGGCCGCACGCTGATTCAGCTTTGGGACATGGCCATAGCGGGACAGTCACCACTGTGAGGCTTCTTGCTCTCCTGCCAAGGAGGGCACGGGACTCAAGATAGCGCAGTGGCACTCTTGCCCTGCTAGGTTGAACAGTGACAAACACTGAGTCCCAGACCTCCCGGCAGGTGCACCCCAACGTTCCTGCTGACTGGCCTGCTCCTCAGATCTCCAGAGAGCCTGTTTGTCCTCAGATCCGCTCCTCAAAGCATTTCTTTCCATGCTACCTCTTGCCCTTGATCCTTCCAAAAGCTCTCAGGTAACAGAGACAGGAAGCCAAGCCTTACCGCTCTTGCAGAACAGGTCTGCCTCTAAGTTGCAGCCACGGGCCTGGGTTAAGAGGAAAAGTTGGCCAAGTGGTGCACGAGTTTCCTGGGTCAAGGAGTACCTCTTACCCAGGCAGCTCCTTCCTCCACCTCACCAGGCCCTGAGGATCTTCAGAAGTATCCCGAGGCCCCAGCGGAGATCCGGCTCCCCTGAACTGTGGGGCAAATGCTGGGAAACAGCCAGGTGTCTGGTAGAAGGCCCAGTGGGGGTTTAGGGCTGGAAGGAGCCCAAAGGCAGATGGAGAGAAAGTGAGAGTTCACTGCAGCCAGAAGGGAGAGCCCCTTGAAAAGCCCCAAGCTGGCTGCAGCCTTCCTTATGCTAGGCAAAGATTCCACCTACCCTGTGAAGTGGAGGCCAGCACTACCCAGCCTGGTGTCACTCTGCGGGACAGACTCAGTGGAGGCTTAATCAGGCTGGGTTTCCAAGGGACAGCAAGTGGGCTAGGCAGAAGAGAAATGAATGTCCTTGGGGGCACATGTTTAAGGAGGCAAGACTCCCAGTCATCCAGCGGTGCGTTTCACTGATGTCTTCTGCAGCGCACACCTCCCTGGTTTCTGTCACAGACCCCTGCAGCGGGCGGGCAATGTGTCCCTAGCTCGTGGGTAAGAACACAGAGGCGGGCAGGTGAAGCACACTGATTCTACACTACTACGGAGACCCTGCATTTACAGGACGCATCACTCTCCGTGCTGGCCTATTTCTGCCTGCCCGTTTTCCGCAGAGCATGGCCACCTGCTGGGTCCAGTGTGACAGGATGGGCCTCTGCACACCACACTGGGGCACCCTATGCCCATTTAAAAGAGGTGCCCCGCAAAATGCGTCATCTGGATACAATGCATGTGACCACCTAGGGAAGCATGAAGACGATGCTTGGGCGCTCAGGCCTGTCCCCAGAAGTGATGTGCAGAGTAGGATCTGCAGGAGGCACGGCAGATCACCGGGCAAGTGCAGGGCCAGAAGTGAGCTCTGGACAGAGCCCATGAGTCTGGTGGGAGTGCAGGAGCACTATGAAGAGGGAGTCAGAGGAAAACCCAGAAGCTCGCTCAGCCAGGGACCGCATGGTCAGTTAAGGCTCCGTTATAGTCCTAGACATGGCACAAGTACTGGCAGGCTTCCTCCCCAAGGCAGACACATCAGGTGTGCAATCTCTGCTCCACATTATGCTTGCATTGCCAAGCAAAGGTGTCCAGCCAGAGAAACTAGCATGGAAATGAGAATGATTTTGTGGGGCCTCAGCAGGGGTCAGCCGAGCCAGGCAATTATCTGGTGCTGGTGGGGCCATCTCAAAGACCAAGAGATCCTGCTAATGGAAAAACGTCAGGAAGGCTCACCATACAGGCCATATATGCAGTGAACTCACCATTCACCTGCGAAGCCCTCAGGCAGAGGAACGTCCAGTGTCTTCTCTCCCTGCTCCACTCTGTACAGAAAAGTGTCTTGTCTGTGCTACACATGGTAGGTAGACAGGGAAGCAGGACGCACAAGCCCTGTCTCTTTCGAGCTAAACAGCTGAAAAGGGTTCATGGCCACAGGACTCCCTCACACATTCCGGAGCAGCCACGGATGCCAGGTCCACGGTGTGTCTACTGTCCTGAAACCCGTAAGACCGCCCCACATTTCTGGGCGTCTGCAGGGGCCCCAGTGGCCGTCTTTGTGAGGGCCAACTGCACCTTCCATTGTACCTGAAGTCTCAGGTCCATCTCTGTGGCGGCACTTCGCTCCGTCCCTTCTTGCCTCCTCCAAAAAGTGAGTATGAAGAAGCCTTCTTCACATTCTCAGGGAGGCCCAGGGCCAGACAAGACAGTCGCTGCCACTAGGGACACCCCACTGCGCCCACTGCTGGAGGACAGAAGGTTGTGTGTGCGGGTCAGGGCCTGCAACTGACAGCCAGCCTGGGACAGGGCTGGGCTCAGACTCGGGCTGCACAACGCAGTACCCGCTGCTGTGTGACCGTATCTTAGGGGAGGGTCTCAGGAACGGCCTTGGCACTGTTGGAAATCCTGGTGGGGACAGTGTCCAAGTGGCAGCGTGCAGAACTCAGCATGAGAGCCTCAGGAAATGACGCTGACCACAGTAGGCAACGCTTTGCTCAGCTCTTTATAGAAAGGACAAAAAAAGGAGGCAGCTGTGGAGTTTGCATGTGACACAGCCGATTCTGTGTCAGACCCACAGGATATGTCTCCGTGGTACTACGGGACTGGATGCCCAACTCCAGGGACTCTTGAGATCTGCTCCTGCCACTCCCCAAGGAGCTCCTCAGGCCGCAGGTTGACTCTGAGTTCCCACACAGGAGGAGCAACCCCTGCCGCTCACCCTGCATGGGCCCCTCCTGCACAGCTGTGTTCCAGACTCACCCACCCGACGGGGCCAGGCCAGGCCACCTTTCTGCCTCCGCCCTTCTGTCCCACTGCCAGGAATGGATCCCTCACCCTGGCTTGCTGCTGTCCTTGTTCTGTGCCACCTCTGTGCGTCAGAGTACAGCTGAGATCACAGGTTCTAATCCTTGCTCTGACACCTTCTGCTTGATCTTCAACCAGAACTTAAACTAGCTTGGGCCTGAAGGCCTTCCTCTTTATTTATTTTTTTGGTACCGGGAATCGAACTCTGTATCTTGCGCTTGCCAGGCAGGCCCTTATACCACGGAGCTATATCCCCAGCCCAGGCCTTCCTCTTTAAAAAGGCAGGAGGCACAAACTGAGTGAAGCCTGCATCGCCACACACACGGCCATCATCGTCTTGTACCACTCTCGCTGCACCATGAAACTGTGGTTGTGCTGTTGTTGCCGCAGGTCCCCTATGCAGGCCCAATGTCCATCTGCATTTCAGAGATCAGTAACAAGGCTCTGTCCCCTACTAGCTGTGCAACTCTGGTAAGTGGCCTGTCTGTGCCTCGCTTTCCTCTTCTGTAAATGCAAAGACAGTGGTACTTGGTTCAACAACTTAATTCTTTCCACTGTTCTGGTCTCAACCTGAACTGGATGAGAACCAAATCAAATTCAGTGGTTAGGGTCAGTGTTAACCTTACGGGAAGTTTGACTTGATTCTTCTCCAATTAGATCTGTAACCAGAATCGCAGGAAGATTTAAGTGTGTGAAATGAGGCACCTCTGTAATAATACTTACACCTGCTTATGCATAGATGAACTGTAGAATGCTGCCTGGCACTGATCCATACCTGGGTAACATTCACTGTCTATCACACCGCCACCCCTGCAAGTTTCACTGCTACCAACTCCCCTGCCCGCCGCTGCGGCTCGTCACCACCATCACTCACCACTACTCACTCCCTCCTCAGAATTCCGGCACACTGCCAGTGATGGTGAATGCTCCGAGTGTCTCTGGCGTCTGAGTTCTGAATGTAAGATCTGAGTGTGTAAGGGACAGTCGGCAGAGCTGCTCTTAGAGGCTGCCCACCACGAGACTGCTGCTGAAAGGACAGGGCTGGCCAGTCTGCCCTGAGACAAGACCCGGCCACACTTCTGATGTCCTTCAGAAACACACTGTGCTGCTGTCCATTTGTTCTGTGGCTCCAAATGAGCAGCAAACTACTAGGAATGGCTGGGCACCTCTGGGCACCCACAGCACACGACACAGGCTGTGACCCCAGACCTTACCAACCTCGTGCATTGCCTTCCAGGACCCCAGGAGGTGTCTGAAGCCACGGATGGAACCAAACACCAGGTGTACAGTTGTTTTCCTACAGGTACGTACTTGATTCACTCATAATTTACACAGTAGATTAAAAAATCAAACAGACTTACACACTAGAACATATGCCTATGTGCATGTGATCTCTCTCCAAGTGTGCTCTTCTGTACACCTTAGAAACCTCAGCATATAGCTTTTTTCTCGTTAAGTAGGGAACTTGTACCTTTTTGCACAATGGGATCCCTTTACGGCTGCTCTCTGGGGCATCTGAATCGTGAGCATCAGGAGTCTGGTGCTCTGGGGCCATTGCTAAGTACAGCTGGGTTATTGAACACCAGCATTACCTGAGACAGTGAGTCTGAGAACTGCAGAGGCTCCCAAGGACCGGGGAGGTAGAGGACAGTGTATGCAGCATGGATGTGCGGGACACAGCGGAAATTCTTGTCCCCAGCAGGATGGAACAGGTCTGTGTGACATTTCTTCAGTCTCCTGTGGGTGGTGCACAATTCCAAGCTGTTTAGTTCTA